GCAGCGAATTTTAGAGGCCATCAATTTCCGATTCTTTTGCCCGTCTACCCTGTTTACTATTTTTACCATTTTATCTGGTCATAAATTTATTCAATTAAATTCCTTTTGCTCGGTATCTTAGAAGAAGAGGACTCAAGGAAACATAGCTGGTTTCCTTATTCCAGGTTTCTTAATTTCTCCATTTCCGGTTTCTAGCTAAAGTTGCGTGACTAGGCGTGACATCCCAAGGTTTTACCGGGCTTTAAAGGGAACAAATTTTTATTTTCTCTCCAACAACGTAGCTGAAAAGTCGATATATTCTGTTTCTCGAGAAAATTGCTCTGAATGGTTGTCTCGTCAAGGTATTTTTAATACAATACACGCGAAACATGAGCCGTATGATCCTTACATTTCGATAGGAGACATTTTGGATTCAACTTCGCCAGCAATTACCAATGCTAAAGTATACTTGATTTTTATGGAATCATGCTTCTCGGAAGTCAGGATTTTATTTCATTTGGTTAAACATTCCAGCCTCGCATAAGGTAAGCCGTAATTTAGACAAAATCTAGTCGAGATAAGTAGTGATGATTTATTACGCTTTAAAGGAAAAAATGGCAAAACCTCGAATGTGCGCATATAAAAACGACCATATCTTTTGAAATACTAAAATCGTACACGGGTTCTTGTGAATTCTTGTCAATTAAGGAGCAATCTTTTCGGCTCTATAGTCTAGAATAACCAGCTCTGTCCCAAAAAGTAGAAATATGCTTCTAAACTAAGGCCATTTTTTGGCCGTCTGTTCGATGGTATTTTATAGGGGTCATATTTTGGTTGATTTCATCTTTCTGGGTACGTGTACGGAGAAATACTTGATATCTAGAAAAACCGAAGACATTTATCAGTAAATGGGTGTCAAATTCATTTCGAGATGTTGCGAATAAAAAATTTTACAGCGCTCCAAAAAATGCCAAATTTTCAATTTTTTGGGCCCTACAATATGGCCATGGCGGGCAAAAAAAATTCGTGCTTCTTAACGCTTCCAGAAAATAACTTTGAATCAAAGCAAACCTATTTTAGTTATAGTCCCAATAAAGGCTTTCATCCACCAGAGTTTCAGGCAAAATTATTTTTCACGCGAAATTGAGTGGGTGGTTTTTACTGAGACTGCCTCTAAACACTTTGAAACCGTATGAAACTAAACCTCACTAAGACCTGGGAGATGGTTTTGCATGGCACAATTTTCAAACCACCGCCACCTCTGGTACAGGGGATTGAACGGAAAAGCTGGTTGAAATTGCCTGGCATAATTTTCTAGGAGAATCCTTCGGACTGGACCTTCATGTTGACAATTTGTTACGCAAAGCTAGTAGTCGTTTATACATTTTACCCGTTTGCAAATATTTTGGATTCCCTAAAGAACAACTGACAAAATTATTTGATCTTTTAATTATGTCCCTGTTTTTGTACGGAATTGAAATTTGGGGAGCGGGATATCAAGGTAAATAACTTGATCGCATTGACCAATTTTTTAAGCGAGCGTTCAGATTCGGAAACACCAACAACCTGTATGCAATAATGAATAGCTGACGTGATCAGAAATCGAAACTGTAAGCTATGGAACACTATCACGGATACTCCTTCCCATCCCCTTTACCAACTATTACCCCCTAAGAAACAGAGAATTTTGCGAAACAGAGGACATGATTTTATTTTACCTGTTATTAAAACAGAACGCTTTAAGAGATCTTTTATTGATAGGTGTCTTTAATTTTATTTAATTGTACTTGATCTTAAATAGATTGCATTGTCATGTATGTAAAGCCACACGTATGTTGTGACTACACAACTTGATGGGATCCAAAGAAGGTGGATCTGGCAACACGGCTGCTTTCCAGGTGCACGCCTGGAGATGGGCTCTTATCACATTCTCTTTGACAGCTTCATTGGAAGGAGGGAGTGAATGGATTGGAGGAGCTGATTCTTACTGTATACCCACATTTAGCCGCCCAGAATTTGTATCTTATCTCGGACATATTCCCGACTATTTTGCTGTTGTAAAAAGATGATATAAACTTCATCCTAGCTTTGTCAAAGACTCAGGAAGAGCCATTAGAATCTTTAGCACATTTCCTTTGCCGATTCCAAAGAAGGCAGGGACAGTATCACAGCCTGAAAACGCATGTGTAACAAAGCAAACCGGGAACAACGGCATGGTGTTGTTGTGCAGTGGCCTTGACGTCTGTCGTAGACCTTTGCTGCACTGGTGACTCCATAAACATAGCACTGGCTAGACCCTCATTTTCATAATGGTGGAGAAGGAGCATGAAAACATCTGTGTCATTCGCGACAACCACAACAGCACCAGGCTGATCTTTTGCGCACCTGACGGCTTGCTGTACGATGATGTTCTCTGCCTCCTCATTTGATGTCGTCAGTTCTTGCCTTAAGTACACTTGTCCTTGGATGCGTCTTGGACATGACATGTAACATCGCTCACTACGTTCCTGCATATTAGGTCAATCAGCTGCTTCTTATTGGCACTCACCGTGGTTACTGCGTTCTGCGAGGAATGAGGCGTACCCTCTGACAGTTGGTAGAACCTGCTGGTTTCATTTGCTCTTGACTCCCTTGTTACACCCTTGGTGCTGTAATCTTTTACCGATCTGCGCTAACAGTAGACGCACAACGTTTTTCCGATTTGAGTCCTCGAGGGTTACAGCAATAAGCAAGATGGACTCGACTGATATAACGTTCGAAGTACCTACCGTAATTTGTCATATTTGATGTGTTGTGATTTAAACTGAAATACAAGGTGAAAATAAAACTTCAGAAGTACTGCGAGCGCAAAAGAAATACAGCAAACAAATGAACGACGCCCTTACATCGTTTTGGCGCAAAACTTGTGACCGCAAAAGAGATACTCCTGAGAGGAAACTACTACTTAGTGCTCTTGAAGAAAAAACGTTGAAATGAAAGCTGAACTGAAAATGCTAGAAGGCGACTTAAGGTAAAAACAAAAAATGCAAATAAGGGCTAGGCGCACGTGAGATTCCTAGGGGAGTTGATTTACAGGTAAATTGTTCTTTAGGGCGTTAGATACTATGTCCTGGCCCTTAAGTGAGAGCCCTAGAGCGAATCGCTTACAAAACAACACAGTAACAAACTAGGTAAGCTGACTTAAGTCTAAGCGAATGTCAGTTAAATGCCTGTGTGAGTTATTGTCCATGTTTACTTTAATTGAACAGTGTCCTTCAATCAAAAGGCACAGCTTGTCAACGGGGCTTTCGAAGACAGCTGTCTTGGTACGCACTTTAACCTGTCCAACAAAACCTCTCCCGTCTAGGAAGGTCTCTACGATTCTTCCTAGCAGCCAGGAATTTTTTTGCGAAGATTCAGTCGCGACAAGGGCAACATCCCCAATTGCCAAATTCCTCCGAGGACTTACCCACTTTTGTCTAAGTTCCAGAAGGGGAAGGTATTTCCTGCTCCATCTTCTCCAGAAAATATCTGCAAGATATTGTACTTGCTTCCACGTACAACTAGAAAATAAATCTTCCTTCTTGAATAGACTAGGTGGCAAAGTGACTTCTGACTTGAGAAACAACAGGTGGTTCGGTGTGAGGGGCTCCATATTGTTTGGATCACTGGACACAGGTGTGATGGGTCGACTGTTCATGATGCTCTCTACTTCACACATAAAGGTAACTAGACGTTCGTGTTCAGCAATTTGCTCTCGAAGCAAGGCATGCAGAATCTTTCGAACAGTACTTATACATCTCTCCCAAATGCCTTCGAAGTGAGGCCCATGTGGAGGGTTGAAGGACCACTTGATGTGCTTTTGTAGCAGAGAATTGTGCATTTTTTTCCTGATTCTAATCTGAAATAGCGTCACACAGCTCTCGCTCACGACTGGTGAAGTTCGTCGCATTGTCGGAGTAAATCTCTCTCACCTGGCCTCTCCTGGCAATAAAACGACGAGGGGCAAGGAGGAACCAGTCTGTATCGAGACTTTCAGCCACTTCAATATGTACAACCCAAATCGCAAGGCATGTAAAAATCACGCCATACCCCTTTACGAGGCTACGCCCACGTTTGACATGAAAGGGACCAAAGTAGTGTACCCCAACTCCTGTAAAGGGTGGCTTGTCAGGCAAAAGGCGACTCTCTGGTAAATCAGCCATTTTCTGTTGACAAAGCGGCGCCTATCAACGACAGCAGGTCACACACTTTGAGAGAATGCCTTTGGCAGTAGAACTTCCTTGTAGGATACAAAACCTCTCTCGAAATAAGGTTAGGACGTGCTCTCTGCCAGTGACCGCAAATACTGTAGTGGTTATAGATTGTCAACTTGGTAACGTGCCATTCCTTTGGGAGAATAATCTGATTCTTTCTCTCTGAGGGTAAGGACGCATTGCACAAACGACCGCCTACGCATAAAAGCCCCTTCGATAACGTGTGGATCAAGCTTGTATAGGCGACTACTCTTCTTAACAGGCTTCATGGGGTAGTTAAGAGGCCCTGCGCCTAAGAAACGACCGATGATTTCCGGCTAAAAAATAAAATCGGCCGATTTTTATCTCCCGAGTAGAGGTTACCGAATACTATTCAAAAATGAATTTCTTTTGTTTCAGTTTCGCTTTAAACCAAAAATATCGAGCCGCAAACTTTTTCCGTCTGATAGCAGCAAAATCAGGCCTACAATAAGCCCTCGCAAAAAACGGTTCAGAAATCACTATTGCGACGCAAAACAACGAGAAAACCACACAGTGATGAAGAAAAAGGCCTTTTAATGCAACATCATTCGATAAACATCGAAAAACTGCCGAAGGAAATAAAAAATAAATTTTCAAATATTGCATATTAAATTAGATGGAGCGTTGGAGTTGATTTTAAAATAATTGTTTCTCAAAAGTCCAACGCTGTTGAAAGCAATCACAGTGTTGAATCAGAAATTGGAGGGATATACATTACGATTCTGGAAAAACATTTTTCGGCCAAAGTATATTGACGTTGTACAAAGCGTTCAAAGTTGCAGTGTTTACCGTTATGTTGCTACTTCGGCGAAACACTTCTCTGTTGCCAATACGGCCGTTGATAGCGTGGTAAACGCCACTTTAATCCTTGCTAGGCGCTCAGAGACCATCCTAAGTAGAAGGACGTAGAATTAAAAGAGAAAGGAAGATGAAAAATAGGCAGAAAAAGAAGAGAACTCGAAATTACCATCTGCTGACGAAACTTGAATCTGGAAAATGTCGTCGCGTGACAGCGGCCAATGACGTCACTTGTCTAAACTGCGGCGGAATCTAAACGAATGCACAACTTTTTCCCGGCCAGAAAGCACTTAGTGAAACAATGTTACAGTAATGTTAGTTTTTCACAAGCGATGGTGACTTAAAAAGAAAAAATTCCCTAACCGCCGCACCGTTTTGGCCTCAGCGTGATCTGATCTCCGGTGGAGTCACGAGTCGACGCTTCTGGCCAGCGGTCTATTGAAAGAAATCTGATCCCACGTTATTTTTTTTTCGGGCGAGAATCATTCATGTCATTGTCCAATGTCTTCCTTCAAGGAAAAAAAAGGGAGATATTGGAGTACTGTTGCTGCCGAGAACGAGGAACATCTTGGTCCCGAAAACTGAGTTCATTACGCCCAAGAATTACGGTTCTTTTTTTCTCAAAGGACAAGTATCTGGCGCTATAAAATGTAGCTAACAGATTCAATTCTTGGCACAATGATTAGCCTCGCGTTTAGTATTTTCTTGGACATGAAAATATCGGGGGTGACGCTATTCGGTGGAATGGTGGACTGACGGAATGACGGAACGGAATGATGGAATACATGGAATATTCTAAAACACGGAATATACGGAATACTCTAAAACGAAGAATAAGAGAAAAATCGTTTAAAAAGGGTATACATGTATACAGTCGACTCCAATGACTCGAACCCTCGCTACTAACTCGAACCTCGTGCTAACTCGAAGTAATACTAATTTTTGTTTCTCTTCAGATCATTTCTATATAATTTTACCCTCATTAACTTGAACCATGTTTTAAGGGCGTGACAAGTAAATATAAAAGAATTGACTTACCGTAATGATTCGATTTAGCGCCCAGGCGCTTATTTACTTTTGGTGCCTCTAGGGAGGACGCTTATTCGGGACAGGGCGCTTATTTCGTTTTTGAGAAACAACCAAATGGTAAAAAAAGAACCTTGATATTTATTTAAGAACGAACAACATCTGAAACTGTAGCAGCAACAAATACCGACGGTGAATGCTCAGTTAACGCGAGGGACTTACCTTGAAACTTGTTGGACACTTTGTCGATGGAACTTTCCTTCCTTATATTCACCTTTCTTAAAAAAGCTCGCAGTCAAAACAAAGTGCAAGTCGATTAACCCATTCGCCCCTGAACCGCCCGTAACCGCCCGTGCGGATCCAGGTCCTTTCTACCCTTTGTGACATCATCAGTTTAACGCTCAAGGACAACTTTCTTCACTAACGTGTGCAGAATGAAGAGATCTTTCAAACCATACCAAAATGAGCACAATTCAGTCAAGGACACCGGAGAAACAAGCAAAAAACCCCGTGACATTGACCTGAAAATCTCCATGAAAATCTTGTTCCATTACCCACCTACCTTTCCTTTCACCTAATCCTAAGATCCTAAAAGCTCCCCTAAAAACTCTTCCCACCAAAATGAAGCCTACTAAATGCCCAGCAAGAGAAAAAAAAAATGAGGCAAGAAAAGCGAAAAAAGAAGGGAGCAGAGAAAGCGAAAAGTAAAAGTCAAGACTGCTGTGTCACTTTTAAACCCAAAAACTTTGCTTTCTGCGCATGCCCGAACTTTGCAAGCTGATATTTTGCATCTGGATCAGAAAGCCGCGAAGTGTACGACCTGTAAACCGATTTTTGGTAAATTTTAGCTCTTTTTAGCACGACAGTGACCAGAAAACCACTCGACTAGCTTCAAAACGCGTTTTTCGGCAAAATCTCCAGGAGCGAATGGGTTGAGGTAATGGATCAAGGAGACTGGAAAACGGACTTGTTGTCCGTGGATCCTTCCTCGCCAGAACAACCAACCGAGCAATCTCCACAAACTTTGAAGAAGAGATCATTCCTTTGAAGACTATGGAAAAACTAAAGCAAGCGACCGGACAAATTTAGGCACAGGTGCGGCCCCCATTAATTGGTAGTACAATCCTGTCAAGCTTAAGTTTACAATTCTTTTTTTTTTTAGAACAGCCGTTTTATGAAAGTTATCCGACATTAGATTCCCGTGATACCGGACCCTTCACACGTCAAGATGGTGTTCAAAACCGTCATAAGGTCTATAGTGTGGCTTACGGCAGTACGAAAATTGAATTTTTAATATTACCTCTGCTCTTTCGTCAGTCCAGTTCAAATCAAATACAGAATATTCAGTAAATTCCGTGTTTTAGAGAATTACGTATATTCCGTATTTTACAACTGATTGCATGTATTCAGCCATTCCACCGAATAGGGTCACC